ACAAAATAGTTGAGTACCACAAGATAAAGGTAAACAACTCAATTGAAAAATGGGTACAGGATATGAACAGACAGTTCACCAAGACATTCAGGTGGCCAAAAAACACATGAAGAACTGTTCAAAATCCCTAGCTCTAAGAGAGATGAAAATCAAAACATATATATCATCTCACTCCAGTAGGAATAGCAAAATTTAACAGAGCAGCAAACAGCAAATGCTGGTGAAGTTGTGGAGAAACTGGAACCCTTATTCACTGTTGGTGGGAGTGTAAAATGGTGCAACCACTGTGGAAGGCAGTATGGCACTTTCTCAAAAAGTTGCAAATAGAAATACCATTTGACCCAGTAATTCCACTACTGGGAATATACCCAAAAGAAATAATATCTGTCACTCAAGCAGATATATGCACACCCATGTTTATTGCAGCTTTGTTTACAATAGCAAAGACTTGGAAACAACCCAAGTGTCCATCAACAAATGAATGGATAGAGAAGGTATGATATATTCACACAATGGAATACTATGCAGCATTGAAAAACAAGGAACTTGTGAAATATTATACAAAATGGGTGACCTGGAGGATATTATGCTGAGTGAAATATCTTAGTCACAAAAGGACAAATACTGCATAATATCACTGTAATAAAACAGGACTGATGTGAGGGTTGGTGAGGAACTAAGAAAGAGGGGATAAATAATGTACACTGCATTGAAACAGATGAAGGAGAGAAATGCTTAAAAGATATAGATCAGGTATTATTTGTATGACAACAGTTCAGAATAAGAATTTCATAGTAAAGTGGACTGGGGTGGGGGTAGAGAATTGTACAGCAATAAAAGACATTTTTCCCTTGAAAAGAAAAATGAGGGGGGAGGAGGAGCATGGAGGAAAATGTACAACAATGAATGAATCAAAATCCAAGTTCTCTATAAAGTGTCATTAAAATCTCAATTAAAAAATTAATAAACACACAAAAAGAAAGAAAGTAGATTGTAATTCAGTCTGTAAATCATCCCTGAGTTGGAAGAATCTAGCAATCACCTCATCTTACCTAATTCCTTTTCAAGTTAAATAAACCAAAGTTTAAGTAGATTAAATAAGAAAGTGAGATCAGGATTCACATATGTCTATACTCCATAATGATCGGAATGGACAATAGATTATCATTTTAAGTTACAAGTACCAGAAAAGTCCTGTAGACAAATCCACTCATCCTGTATTCTACCCATGGCTGAGATGTTTCTGGATTTGCTCAGAAATTGACCATAGACTAATAGTGAAGACTTTGTCTGTCTTATGGTCTCGTGAGGTTTGGGTATTAGGTCTTCCTAATTTATCTCCCTTGTCCTGTGAAGTCAGAAAGGGGAGAAAGGAAAGACTCAGCTTCATCTAATGGGGGAAAGCAGTCAATTTGGTTTCATATTAAGATTTCCGATCAGGCCCACACTCTCTGGGACTTTCAAAGCACTGCTTTCCTGCTAGCCCAGAGATACCCACTGCCCTTTCTGTATAAATTAAACCGTCATAAACTTTGTTTTCATCGCTTGAAATTAATATAAAGATTAAAGATTCACAAAGAAGGAAGTTGGAAATGTCTCTGAATGAAAACCTCACTCGCCTCCCCTTTCTACAGGTGACGTTAATAATTTATGAACACAAATGAATCTCGTATTCAACCATGTGCAGGATAAGAGTATTACCTAGAGCGGAGAAGGGTAGACAGGAGGAGGTGATGAAAAAATCATAAACAACAACATAGTTTTAAAACCTGATTTCTTGTCAAGTAACCCTTTTCCCAGAAACATCACAGATACTGGCATTCGGTGAGGTTTCCATTCACAAGTGGTGCCAACACCTGCGAGCGAGTGGGTCTTTGCAGTATTTGAACAAGAGAAACATCTTAAACCCACAGAATGTCTGCACACGTTTTGGATTATGGTTCGACGTAAAATCAAAGTGAACTCCTCGTAATATATTTACCAAACACAACACTCCAGTATGAACACTTTAAAAACTGAAAGAATCAAATGTCCTTCTAAGAACTATGGGACAGAAGACCTAAAATTCTGACCTTCCTAGAAAACTTTGGGCTGTGTCTGTGCTTACAACCAGCAGCATCTTTGTGGGGAGAAATACCAAGTTGTTATTTTTTGTCATCCTCACAGCAACCTCATCCATTTTGCAGATGAGAAATTCTTCTCTTGGCTGTTACCTTTGCAGAAGCAGACCCAGAAGACTTCCTTTTGTAATACCACTGGTGGGTTTGAATTGGCTACCTTGACGTTAGAGGTCAAGTCTACAAGCCTTCTGTGTCACTCATCCTGTTTCTTGACACTGCACCAAAACAAGGCCTATCTTGGAAACAGGAAATGACTTAGGGCAGTTCTTGAATAGCCGTAGGGGCTGTGGAAGTCTGCCCATGTGCTTGATAATCCTAATGCCTCCAAGAGTCCTAGCTCAGCCCTAGCTCCCACTCTATAAGGGCACCACCTTCCGGACAGAGGCAGCCAGGTGGGGCCAGCTGTTTTAAAGGACACTCACAATTTACTGCTATTAACTACTGTTCTGAACCCTGGAGGCCTGCTGGGTATGGAGTTGAGCTGACAATTCAAAGGCAGGCACTTTGAATGCACCAGCAGCTTCATGGGAGAAAGGTGAGCAAACGCCTTAAATGCTTTATGTTCTTGCTGTTATGTGCCATCGAGTCACCTGCGACTCATAGAGTCCCTTAGTACAACAGCCCTAAGCCCTGCTCTATGCTGTGCCGATCTCACTGTCTCCGACACACCTATCCCCACTACCCTAGTCACTGAATCAATCCATCTCATCAAGGGTCTTCCTCTCCTGCACTGTCCCTCCCTCTGAAAACCCACTGGTTCTGAATTGACGGCAATGAGTTAGTTGACTTTGATCTACTTTGCTAAACTCCAGAGGCTTTAAGCTGTAAAGATCTGCTCCTGATCCATGATTTATGTACTTTGCATGTTTCCACGGGTGGTTGTTAGCTAAAAGGATAGTCAGCTGGTCTCAAAAAAATAAATAAGTTAATAAAAAATTATGTAGTGAGGCAGCCTGCTATTATTGTGGACTTGTCTATATCTCTGCTCAAATCTGTTTGACTATGTATCTTGGGACTCTGTTATTAGGTGTATAGATATTAATTACAGTTGTGTTCTTTTGTTCAATTGCTTCTTTAATCACAATATCAGGTTCTTCCTTGTCTCTGGTGCTGATTTAATCAGAGAAATGTAGAATACTACAAGGTCCTACAAGGTGAAAGAGAAATTGATCAGTAGAGTTTGGGATACATTGATTTTAAGATAACATGAAGCGTCCAAATGGAAACGGTCAGGAAGTAATTACATATATGGCTGTAGTTTGAGAGAATGACCTGGCTTGGGTTTCTCCATCAGAGTTTTAAGAGGAGAGTATTGAAGGTGAAAAAAAGACTACAGATGCTCAAGATGGAAGGGCAGAATGCCAAGAGGTGACCCTGCAGAGATGACCAGGGCAAGTCAGTGCACATGCTGAAGGATTTCTAACTATGCCCATCCTTTGCCACCACAGATGTACAATGTCTAGAGGAGGGCAGTCCAGTAGACATGCAATGTAAGCTAGAGGGTGATGAGATGTGTTATTTTAGACTTTGTAATATTGTTGTCAAGTGCCGTCAAGTTGGTTCTCAGGCACAGAAGCCCCTCCACACCACAGAACAATACCCTGCATGATGCATAAGGTCTGCTGCACTTGAGCTCCTTGTTTGTAATGCTGTCAGTCTATCTCCCAGAGGGTCTTTCTCGCTTTCACTGATTCTCACTTTACGAGGACAATATCCTTCTCCAGGGATTTGGCCCTCCTTGTAACACGCCCAAAGTACATGGGATGAAATCCCACCATCCTCCCTTCCAAGGAGCATTCTGGGTGTGCTTTTTCCAGAAAGATTTCTTTGTTCTCCTGGCCGTCCTTGACCCTCTTCTTCAAACAGAATCAGTCCCCTTTGGTCTTCTTCATTAATTTTCCAGCTTTCTTATGAGCATGTTTCTGCTGTTGTGAGGTATCACATATCAACTATGACTCATAGACATGCTGCGGACAGCAGATTGGAATTTGCTAATGAGGAGATTACTACCCATGTTGCACTTACCATCT